GTTTTCAGAGGTGATAAAAGCAGACAGCCCAAAATCGAAAATGTTCTTGAAGAGTATTTGGGTAATATTATTTTGAAGCAACATTACTCTTACCTTAGTACAGTTTTGGGCTATTTTACCCAAATATAGAGTTAAATATCTGGGAAGCACAAAGAGTCAACCAGAGACAAAAATACAATGAATTTTGAAGTTTAATTATGCAAAATGCCTAAAGCTCTATACAGGCTGCTACTGTTATCAAATTATCAAAAGTTCTGAAAAATACACACAATCTACATTTTTACAAGACACAAGACAATTCATTCAAAAACATTCAGAAAGTTGTATAAATTAGGCACCAAAATGAGAGAAAAGTTATTATTTTAAAGGTCCGATATTACACAAAGTCATGTTAGAATATTGTTACCTCCTCAAAAACAGACCTGGAGTTGTGTTTTATTTCATTCACACATGTTTGAGTCATCCCTTTTTATTAGTTTGTTTAAATCTCCAAAGCTCAAAATGCTCTCTTCCACCCAGTGATGTCATGAAGTGGTTGTTTAGAAGTTCACAGCTACATTTTACTTTTAATTCAGACAAAGTTTTACAATTCCAGGGCAATTTATTAATGATCCAAATGATTGTAGTGAAGGTGTATGCAATTTAAAAACACAATGAAGCACTTCCTATATTACCACATGACATCACAAGGTGGAACAGTGTTTTGTGATGAGGAAACAACATTAGAACATAGATCAGAAAATAGTGTAATATGCTTAAAGGGAAAGTGAGCGCCGCCATTTTAGGTGCAACATTAAATACAAGCGTTTAGGACTTTAAGGCGTAAATACATTGGAAATACAATATGACCATGAGTTAAAAGGTGCATTGTGTAACTTTTCTGGTTGGGGGTCCGTCACCTGCTTGTCTCCATTGTGATTTTTTTATTACTCTGTCTAGAATGTTCCACGGAATAGTATTTAACTAAAATGACAGATGTTTTATAGCTCAAAAGTAGCTTGAAAACAATAAACGAGTAGATCCGACTCATAACTTGACCTGATGGCATCACTGGCTTCTCCATGGAGATAGATAATGCTACTGTGGAACATTCCAGGTGAAGCTATCATATCTCCATGGAGACAAGCAAGTGCCAGAGTCGCCAAGAGTAAAATTACACAGTGCACCTTTCAAGTTACTTCAATTCTGAAATTTAATCTTGATTTGAATAGTTTGGACAATTTTTTTCCATGTTCTTTTCATTAATTTATATGTTTTGTTTTGTTTTTTTTCTTAAAGGTGCACTATGTAACTTTTGTGGTAGAGGACCTGCCAGCTGCTCATCTCCATGGAGATGTTATCGCTTAGTATGGCATTAAATTCACAGTCAGAATGCATGTTTTTAAATGTATTTTTGAGCAATAAAAACACCCTTAATTGAATAAATGCATCTTATTTAAGTTTAGTGCCATATTGAGGAACATTACAGACAAAGCAATAGCATCTCCATTGTCGACCCCTAAGTTACGCAGTGCATCTTTAATCCACTGTCAGATAATGTTATGAAAAATGATTTTAAAACTATACACAAAATTCAAATCTGATAAAACTACTCAAAAACCATGAAAATTGCGAATTCAAATAATTTTGTGTGAATTCAAATAATTTTAACAAATATATACACGTAGAGATTAAACTCTGCAGTGAAAACGAAAACAGCTGAAGGATTACAGTGATATTTTTGGCTCAAAGTGACATTTGTGAAAATGACAGGTCCATTGTTGGTGTTTAAGGCTCATTTGTGGTACAGTGTAAATTAGACGCACAAATTGGTGAATGTGTGAACTGGAAATCATCGAAACAGACTCACCGTAGCTGCCTTTCATTTCTGACTATTACACACCGTTTTTACTCGAGGTTTAAAGGGCCTGTACCTGATTTTCCCCCTTGAATCTAAGCCAAATACATCTTGCCAGAGTAGATACTGTAGATTATATAAGGTCAAAAGTCAACTAAGCCCAGTGTATTTTGTTTGCATCCAATTCATAGACTGTATAAAAAAGTGGACTAAGGGAGTGTGACATCACCCATAGCGTAATAGTCCATTTAATCTACCGATAATTTATGTAAGGAGATTCTTTTTTCAGACCAAGAGTTTGTTTTCGTGGTCTTTCTCAGCTCTCCACACTCTTCCAATTAACTTGCCAAGGGATTTCGGAATTATACCACTGTGCTGAATAAAGAAAATGTGTTTAATTACATGAATCCGTGTATCATTCGTTCATTCGTTTTTCAAAATAAAACCACAAATAAAAAAACAAATTATTTTCTTCATTATTTGTCTCCAAAGCCAAAATGAAAAAATGGATAACGATTAGTTTTTTTCAGTTTTCAGATTTTGTGTTTAAATGAATGGAAAAAACAGATAAAGGCTGTTTCCCGTTTCTGTGACTTAAACTGCAATGCCGGACTTTTGTGCCGCATATGGACTGAACCAGGACTGAACCAGGTCTAAACCAGGACTAAACCAGTCTCGGTCCCAGTTTTGGTCCCGATCACCCAACAGTCTACACGGGCGCACCTCTGGGCCTGTCCCGACACAGTCCTGTTTCAGTTCTGGTTTAGTCCTGGTTCAGTCCACATGCAGCGAAAAAAGTCTGACATCACAGTATAAGTCACAGAAACGGCCGTTATTCATTTTTTCTATTAGTCATTTGAACACAAAATTGACAACTTTTTTTTTGGCTTTTGAGACAAATAAGGAAGAAAATAGTTTTTTTGTTTGTTTTCACAACGAATTTACGTGCCTATTATTATTGAACATGCATAATTTTGAAGCGCAACTTTGTGCACTAATAAATGGACAATGGTGTATATATGGGTTTTATAGACATCTAACTGTATCCAAAGGCTCACCCTCTTTCTTACAATTAACACAATCATCTCAATTTCTTGTGGCAGCTAAAAAGAGTAGCTTTCTGGCATTTTTGTTTTGTAAAGGAGCTCACCAGAAGAAAAAGGTTGGAGACCCCTGGCATAAGGTCAGTGAGGAAGAACTTTGGACCACTGTAAACTGCTTTACATCTGCTTTTCACGTTTTTATAACAGTAAAAATCAGGTACAGCACCCTTAAGCATCTTGAACGATCAATAAACATTACCCAGGCAATATAGAAATGCAGTTGAAATATAAAGACACACGTTGGCAAAGAAAAGTTACAGCCTTTAAAAATTCCAGATGGCTTACGTGTGGTGCCAAGTCTATCCATATGCTAAAACAGTTGTGATGACGAATAGTGAAGACATGAATCACCTAAAACTACAATCTGTGACTAAAAACACCATTTGAAATGAGACATGGAACTAAAGCAACACTATGTAACTTCATACCATAAACAAGTGGAGTGAGGGAGACCGGAGCTGAACCCACAGTGTTCAGCTCCAGTCAAATGAGGCTCATCGAGACTTGCAGTTATAGATGTGAAATTGGAGCTGATTTCCTTTTTAGGCATAGGGATTTATTTACGGACAAAATAGAGAAATAAAAACTCCAGGATCATGTAGTGTGGGTTAATATGAATATTTTAAGACCAAAAAGAGAGAGAGGGATGATGTTTTCTCAATGGAAAGTGAATTGGACCCAGAGTCAGTGGAGCCAGAACCGCGTCCATGCTAACTTCCTGTTTGTAAATATTAGGGATGCAATGATATTCGATATAATATTGAATTGTTCGATACTGGTGTCATGATTCGATACACGTGTTTGTTCAATACACACATGTCCCTCCATGCGCGCGGTGTTGACATTTATTTTGGTCTGAAAGGAAAACAGTTGTCACAGTGTACTCCTCAGATGCAGCAAGGAAACAGCTCCATATGGACTTACAGCAGAAATATTCTAACAGACGTGGGTTTTATCTTTCAGTCACTTTTTTGTTTACATTGATAGACCCAGGAATGACAAAGACATTCACTTTTAAATACTTTGGAATCGCTTTTGCGCCTGCTTTACTAGGGTGTAAAGGGTGAAGGAAGTCTGGGAGCCCCTGCTTAGACTGCTGTCCCCCGCGACCCGGCCCCGGATAAGCGAAAGAAAATGGATGAATAGAAAATCGCTATTGGCTTTAATAAAATGCGCTCATATAGGCACCCGCGACGTGACTCCTTATATACATGATATTTTTCTCAGACTCTGTCTCATAATTTTTTGTTATAAAACGGTTTGCTGAGACATTTCTATACATAGTTTGAGTGTCCAGAAAGAGGATGGGAGAGCGCAGAACTAAAACACTTATAAACTGCAGCTGTACAGTAGTGTTATCATATTATACTTATTAGCAGAAAAAATTTGATCTTTTTTGCGTCTTAAAATGTATCGAAATCTAATCGTTATTGTGACCCATGTATCGAGGTAAGTATCATATTGTGAAAAAAAAACAAATCTTTGCATCCCCAGTAAATATGGCTCTATATTGTTTATATGTCCAAAAATGTATAGACACCATCAAAGGTTTAGTAGTTTACGTATTAAGTATTAAAGGTGGACCGTGTAACTTTTCTGGTGAAAGTTCTGCTACTTTTTTGCCTCCATGGAAATAATGTTGCTTTGCCCAGAATGTTCCACAGTACGGCATTAAACTTATCTTTTATTTATTTATTTCATTGACAGTGCATCTCAAGAAAATACAAAATAAATATACTGTGGAACATTAATGGGAAAATAATAAATCCCCCACCAGAAATGCTTTCATACACGGTCATAACAGAAGTTCCACAGTGTTGCTTTAGCAGAAGTGGTTTCTGTTGGGTGCAGTTGGAGTGAAGTTGTTATTTCAGCAAAGTGAAGTCACCAGTGGTCACAGAAAAAAAACAGACAAAGGTTTAAAAAGTTCCTCTTTCGAAACCTGTATTTGTCTGTCCACCGAGGCATCCATTTTGAAACACAGTGTTTCATTAGAGTTTAAGGTACGTATGATTCCATAGAAATGCAAAATTAAAACCATACTTCCGAACATGGTCAAATGAGATAGACAAGTTTAATGGAGGCCCACTTCCAAGCCAAATAAGAGTTAGGTTTATGGAGATGCAAGCCTGCTCAGAGTAAGGACACATGTTTTTCTAAGTTTTTAGTGTAACAAACAAATCAAAATTAAAAACAAAACCAAACCTGCTTTTACTTTAGTCTGTTTTTGGCTAAAAAGTTACACACTGTGGCTTTAAAGTTGCCCTCTATATCTTTTTAGGTGGAGGGTCTGTCATGCACCTTGCCTCCATGGAGATGCTATTGCTTTACTAAGAATGTTCCACAGTATGGCATTGATTTTGTCAATCTCCATGAACACAAGCAGGTCACAAGGACAAGCTTCAGCTTAGATCTGTGGAGAGGTGACGTCGCTCACAGTAAGAAGGCATGTTTTTGAGATTTTAAGATGTTTTTAAGACGTTTTTGAGCAATAGAAACATGTAACAATGCAATAAATGTAAAACAAGATACATTTAATACCATACTGTGGAACATTCTAGCCAAAGCAAAACAAGCAGGTACTTGAACCCCCCACCAGAAAAATTACGTAGTTCTCCTTTAACTTTAACGTCTGTTCTGAACAATTCCAGTAACATCTTCAGACCTTTTGAGCAAAATATAATTCATGTTCAAACATTGATATGGTGAAATAAAAAAATTAAATCTGGTCAAGGCATCCATTTTGTAATCAGTTTTTTTTATCCTTATTTACTGTCCAAAGTTGCAGGCATCTTGTACAAAAGTGGACCACAGAACTCTTGTATACTTCCTGTTTCACTGTTGGAAAAATGAATGACGAAATTTCCAAAAACAGAAGTAGAAGTCATTGCATCCGTTTTGAAGCCCATTATATTCTCTTGTATATAACGTCTTGAATGGCTGTCAGCTTGTATAGGCCCAGAAACATGAAATAAATGTACTTCCTGTTTCATTTAAAGGGATTTTCAGGCTAAAATGAGTCATGATTTTTCAAAATAAAAGTCTGTATTTCTCATTTTTAGTCTTTTGTTGGAGGCAGCAGGTTGAGAAGATGGTCACACACTGTAAAATAAAAGAAATATATATAGTTAAAATGAGTTGAATTCACCATATTCATCCTGATTTGAGTAGTTTTGACTATAGTATCCAGGGGGTTCAGAATGATGAGAGGATAGGACCGTTGCCATAGTAATTAACAATTATTACTAACCAAAATATTATATCTTGCATTGCATTTACAATTGGTCCAGGTTTGATTTGGATTTAGTTCTTATGTAGACTTGGTTTGGTCCTGATCTAGTCCTGGTCTAGTCCTGGTCTAGTTCTTGTTTAGTCCTAATTGAGTGCTGATCTAATCCTGATCTAGTCCTGATCTAGTTCTGTTGTAGTCCTGGTCTAGTTCTGGTTTAGTCCTCATCTAGTCCTGGTTTAAGTTCTGGTTTAGTCCTGATCTAGTCCTGGTCTAGTCCTAGTTTAGTCTAGGTTTAATCCTGGTCTAGTTCTGGTTTAGTCCTAATTGAGTGCTGATCTAGTCCTTGTCTAATCCTGGTCTAGTTTTGGTTTAATCCTGATCTAGTTCTGGTTTAGATCAGGTTTAGTCCTAAATGAGATCTGATCTAGTACTGGTCTTATCCTCGTCTAGTTCTTGTCAAGTCATGGTTTAGTCCTGATCTAGTTCTGGTTTAATCCTGGTTTAGTCCTGGTCTAGTTCTGTCTTAGTCCTAATTGAGATCTGATCTAGTCCTGGTCTAATCCTGGTCTAGTCCTGGTTTAGTCCTGATTTAGTCCTCGTGTAGTCCTGGTCTACTCCTGATTTAGTCCTGCAAAGGATAAATCCATGTTTTTCAAGGCAACAAAACACCCCGGTGCCATACTTTACATAAAAAGTTACACAGTGCACCTTTAACCCAAAATTATGTTAGGAAAATTACACTTGAAATAACATTAAAAATCTTCCCCATAGGCATTTTTGCAATCTCGATGTAATATTGTTTTACTTCAGTTAATTTGACATAAATAATTGCAACTTTATTTTGATCAAACTAACCCTGAATTTGAATTTTTGGTTTTGTTTTCCATAAGTCTTACCAATAAGTACATAACCCCAGGCTAGTCACACTACTCAAACCAAGATAAATACTGAGAACTAAATCATTTTGACCAATATAGATCCTCTTTTGTTTTACAATGCATGACTTTAGTTCACTTCCTGCTTCTTCTCCGGCACCGCCATCTTTAAACCGAGGTCTCGGACTGGAGCCTCATGACGAACTTGTGCGATTTGGGGTCGATAAACTCCTCCCCCAGGCGCAGAAAGGGGAGAGGTGTAACCGTGACCACCAGAGAAAAGTCCAGGCGCCGTAAAGCGAAGACCAGACCCTGCCTCAGAGCCGACGTGACGGGCTCCTCGCTCACCAGAGTCCACTGGCGCCCCCTGTCGCTCTGCTGCTGGTACTGCAGCGTGGGGCCAGAGGTCAGGTACCGCTCCAGAAAGGCCTAAGGGACAGAGAAGAGGAGGTGTTAGTGAACATGACAATGCAATGATTTAAAGACACAGTTAGTTAGTCGACTAAAAAGGGGGCATGGCAAAAGCTCTTAAAACTAACTAACTAAACGCTGTCACACACTACAGGAGAATTTGCCTTGATTTTGGGTGTGATTTCTTCTCTCCGAGTTTGTGGATGCGTGACCTGACTTTTTGTCTTTGTGTTCAGTTTTGAAGCCGCTGTGCTCCTCATGTGTGTGGTGTCAGATCATAACCACCAAACATCAGCAACGCTATGGCAACAGCCAATAAAACAGGGGGCAGAGGAGTAAGACACAGAGACACAAAATACAAATGTAAAGTGGTAAATTTAAAGTGCAGCATCTCATCCACATTATCCATTGAAATTGTCCTCTGCAAATAATGACATCCAGTCCACAAAACCATGCTGTTAATCCAGTTTGAGGCATTTTTTGAAAGTAAAAAGGTGAGAGTAGTTTTTCACGTGTGTCTGTTTACATCCACACAGAGCATGGATCGAGGTGAAGCTGCAGATTAGCAATAGTGACTCTACTTCCTGTGGACTTTATCGCTAATCATTTATGCTTTAAAAATCATGTATCTGAAGTACTGCACCAACCTTGTATCTAAACTAGAAGTGCAGTGCTCTGACCGTTTGAACACTTAAGGGCAGGAGTCTCCAACCTGTAGCTCGGGAGCCACCAGTAGCTCGCCACCTCCTTCCAAGTAGCTCACCAAAGAATTTCTGAATTATAAGTTTTGCACTGAATAACAAAAAATTGATGAGTAGAATGACTGTTAAAATTGTAAATGTATCATATTCATGCCTAACTTTCCTTTCTGCACTAATAAATGGATAAAAGTATGTTTTACAGGCCTCTAACTGTTCCGATCTAAGGCCGTGGTTCTTATAATTACTCCATTTCTTGAGTAGCTTTCTGGCATTTTTGTTTTGTAAAGGTAGAGAGGGAAAAAGGTTGGGAAAAAGGTTGGGACCCCTGCTTTAGAGCGTCAAAGCGAGTGGTTGTACTGTAGACAGGAAACAGCTGTCGCACTCATAACTTTATATCCTGTGGTGCACAAACAAATCCCGCTGCAGTCTTTGCTGTCGGAGATTGTAAGTCTCACATCGTTCTCTATCTGTGATGTGTGCTTTTTTTCACACGTGTAAGAATCGTTTAAAAATCCTGTAGTGTGTGGCGGCCTTACATTATCTGTCTCTGTGTATCTGACCCAAACTGCACTCACGAGACTACATCTGCAGGGGGAGATCATGCAAAAACTATTATTTACACTGAAAAAAGTACTAGAACACAATGTAAATAAATAATAAATAAACAAATCTGCAGCCAAATCTCTCATTCACTCACTTCGTCTTTGAGTTGTTGTCCCATATAAATCCTTACAATTTAAATAAAAGACCTTATAGTCCCAGTGAGTGGCTTGCATCTCCACAAACCTGACTCTTATTTAGCCTGGAGGAGGGCTTGTTTGTTCCTTTGGCTATAACACAAATAAAGCAAAACATTTATCTATCTCCATGGAGAGTATTCCCAAGTATGGCTTTAATTTTCTGTTTTCGTAAAGTCTAAAATTTGGGGAAACAGGAAGTATGACTTTTTAAAAACATTTTGTTCCATTTTGTACCAGAAGAACAAATTGCAACAGAGAAACACATTGGGCAGAGAACTGTGGTGGACTGTGAGCCCAGTGTGATATAAGTGGACGTTTAGCACCCCCTTGTGGAGTGTAGAGATTTCCAACGTTAAACAGTACTACTGTATTTTGTTTTTATAGAGAAGTCAAACAGGTTTAACTGTACAAACATAATCAACAATCTTTAATTGTGGTATTTTTTTTTACCTGGGCCGTAGACCTTTAGTTGTTTAGTCAATGGAGGGTTAGTAGACAAAACATGTAGTCGAGTAATTGTTTTATTTAGATGATTAGAATTTATGAGGGACAACAACAAAAAAGAGAAGTGAACAAGTGAGTATATTCTGGTGTAAGTAAGAAAAGAACTTCACAACTTTAATCTTTTCTGCAGAAGTTGTTTTTGCATGAACTCTGCCTGCAGGTGTAGTCTCGTGAGTGCAGTTTGGGTCAGATACTTTTGCAAAGCCCCCTTTTCTGTCTTTAGTCGACCAAAAATGTATTTAGTCGACAACAGCAACAAGTTTAGATTGTCCGTTCCTGTGCACAGGTTGAAACTCAAGACAGTGAATTACAGCTTCAAGTCCTGTATTGTCTGACCTTGGGCGTCATGTTGTGTGTGATGCAGAACTGCAGGTGTGTGAGGATGCTCTCCATGCTGTGAAAGGCCTGCTGTCTGGTGGTCCTCAGATACTTCTGCATGGCCCGGGCCATTGGGGCAAAGATAGCCTGAGCTGCCTCCCGGGGGTCCATCACCTCTCGGGGGGGTTTGGGAGAAGCACCAGCCTCTTGCTCCTGGAGCCTCCGGATGTGAGTGAACGCCTCCTCAACAGCCACTACCAGTCTGCAAGAGAGAGAAGATATGAAGTAATGGTGGATATGATAATAGTCTGCAGTCAACACCAGTCTGAGAGAGAAAGAAGAAAAGACAGAAGAGGGTGGATATGAGATAATAATCTCATAATAATAATAAAAGCCACCAGCAGCTACTTTTTATTGTCCCCGTAGTCAAATTTGTCCTCTACATTTGGTCCAGAGCAGTGCCACACCCAGGGACCCATTTCCAGATCTTGAAGTTAGTGTTGGTCAGGATGACCTAAGCTGGAGAACTGTATCTACTGTGAATGTTTGGGTTGAGAAGAGGGTGAATACAAGATTATAGCCAGTCAAATGGTGTGTAAAGATCCTCCAACACTAGCCTGAAGGAGGGAGGGACAATAAATCTTATAATAACATTTAAGTAAACTGAGTTTAAGATTATTAAAACATCCCAAGTCTCCTCTTCCAAAGAAGCAATGAGTTAATGGGCTTGGCTCACAGCACAAGACAGGACCGTAAACAGGAAACTCATCAGTGCCTTTGTCATTGTCATTACTGTGTCCATATTGTGAGTGAAATTGCATTTCTAAAACCCTGATTCTTATTTGGCCTGGAGGAGGGCGTGTTCCTGCTTGTTTTATTGGAACTGTTGCTTATTTGGCTATTCAAAGTTTGGTTGTAACTTCCTATTGCCATGGAATCATACAAGATGAGGTGCCACCTCCAAAAAGTTACATAGTACTGTTTTAATAATTGTTCATTTAGAGTCACCAGTTAACATGTTGTCAGTAACATCCACCCACAGCTCCCTGGTCACTGCTTTATCTTTCAATATTTAGGCCTATTCATTATAACACGACTCAGCAAAAAGCCTCGTAGAGATGAAAAGGGGCAGGGAGTAGTGATTCTAACAGTCAGGTTCCCAGGCACTAAGTGTGCACAGAGCCTATTTGAATGTCAAAAACAGTAAATAGTAGGGACTCCATTGTCTGACCTGGCCTTGCGTTTACGGACCCTCCTCTCCATCTCGGCCTCTTCATAATAAAACTCATTGTGTGAATTGTCTCGTCTCCGGGCGGCTGCAGCGATCATGGCTCTGGACTGACCACTCGAGTTGTTTGTGGGGTTTTCTGTGATAACACAAGAATAAAATACATACAGTAATAAAAGCAATAAAGTATTCTGTAATCATAAATATATGTGTGAGAATAGTTCTGCTGTGTGTACCGTCGATGGAGTAGACTTTGAAGCCGCTCATCTTCTTGCTGAGGATGGACTTGGGCAGGTTGTGGGAGGCGGGGTTATAAATGGGAAAGTCGCTGTAATATCTGTCCAGGACCCACACAGCAGCTCTCTGGATACTGAAGCACATGAGACAGGGAGGGATGAAAAATAAGTTAGAAGTAAGGCATTTAATAAAAATGCAAAAATAGAAAAAAATTATTATTTTTTTCTTCAGTTTTAAATTTTCTATTTTATTCATAAATATTCCCCATCTTCAAGCATTTTAATCATAGGTTGCTGCCCTAGTCCTTATTTCCCTGGATTGTCAAAATATATATGCTAAAATATGCTAAGATAAATACTATTAACTCGATCATCTATTCATTATTGTTCTATTCAATTACAAAAATGCAGTAGTGACAAACTGATCTGTAAAGCTGGTCACATGATCAGGTGTGAGCTGGAGATATTTGTCACAGTGAGGGACAGGAGGACATTGGAAAAACTGCTCACCCACTGCACCAGGCTACAGAAGGACAGACAATACTCCCTACAACTGTACAACAACTCACCCACTGCACCAGACTATAAAGTCTATAAAGGAGTTCATTCTCCAACAAGCTCCTACAGCTCTGCTCAAACAGTGAGAGATACAGGACTACATTCATAATATAATACTCCCTACACCGGTACAGCAACTCACACTTATGTAACAGATAATACTCCCTACAACTATGTAACGACTAACCCTATGTTCTGTCAATCTTATCATTTTTTTGCACTGTTTTTCTTATGACCTCTTGTATTTAGATGAGATATTTTTATTACTTATTTTCTGTTTTATTTTGACTTGTACATATATATTTATTTGCCTTATTTGAAACCTGTCTCATTATCTTTTTTGCTGCTCATTTAGAATGTATTATTACCATTTTTTACTCTTTGTTATTACATTCTATTGTGTTATGTGAGCTACTGTGTCCAAGATATTTCCCTTGTGGATCAATAAAATTTTGTCTAAGTCTAGTCAAAAACTAGAGCCAAGAACTCAACTCAAAAATCATCATTTTAACAATATATATTTTACCTGCCTGCATTTGTATTAAATATTATTGCCCTATAGAATGTCGTGATACCAACACACTATAGCTGCACCGTCCCACTTTAACTGTGTGTTTTTACTGTATATTTAGAAGGAAAATTGTGTCTCGTCTCATCCATATAATATGGATGGGACGAGACATAATTTCCACAAGACAAAGTGAGACACGAGTTTGGGTCCATGAGAACGAGACAAGAAGAGATTTTGACATTATTTGTGAAATGTAAATAGTCAGATTTAGTTCCCAAAGTTGGCTTCAGACTTTATATTTACTTCAGTCCATATTTTTGTTGTCATTCTCCCAGTGAGAATGTTGAAGTTGGAACTACGGCTTCTCAAAAGATGCAACATAACAACATAACCACTTAACCTTTTCTGTCCAATCCAAATGGGGAAAAAAATCTCACGAAATGATTTTTCCCATGTGCACACAGTCTTGCAGCATTAGAAGAAGTAGAAGTAATGATTTGAAATTGAATTGAAACTGAAGTCATAATTTCAACAAGCATTTACATGGCATTCATTTTTTGCATTTATCAATCACTCTTCATTCAGATTGACACATTTCTTAATACATTTGAACAGTCTTCCTCACCTGAGATGCCCCACGTTGTAGAACTTGCTGGCTCCATCGCTGCTCCTCACCACTTTGATGCAGAAGGCGGGCTGCAGGTGCCTGATCTCCAACAGAACCAGGGCCAGATACTGAATGAAGAGGAGCGCGTCCACCAGAGAGGCTGCGTACTCCACTATCCCCCTGTAATCCCTCTCTCTGGGCTCCAAAACTCGCACGCCATAAAACAACCAGTATGACGCCACGAAGAGAAACACCAGCACCATGAGCAGGCATCGGAAAACGAAAAACCTCGGCAACGTGGCGCGAGGAGGGCGGAGAAATAGAGCCCACGACGATATGAGAAGAACGAGGAGTTTGAAGGCCAGAGATACGTACAGCCCTTCACACGGGGTGCCGCAGGGCTCTAGACTGTCCCTCCACAAAACCTGCGGGATGATGAGGAACGCTAGAGGAGTGAGTAAAGCAAAAAAGCTGAGGAACCCGGCCAGAACAGGTCCCAGGAAGCGTTTGCATTCCAGAGGCGTGGTCTCCTCCAGATCTTTGGACACTCGAGTCAGATCCTCGTTGGAGATGCTGTGCTCGGAGGTTCCCGTGACGACGGTGGTGGTTTCGCCCCAGTTATCATCCTGAGAAAAGACGAAATACAACAAATGTTTAGGCGAGATACAGTGAAAGGAGACAGAGGAGGTTTTAACTAGGGCTAGAATAGACTAAAGGAATTCTTGGTTGATTTAAAGGCCCATATTACGCTATTTTCTGATCTTTTATAATGTAGATTCCACATCACAAACAGACCTGGAGTTGTGTTTTGTTGCATTCACACATGTTTAACACACAAACGCTGCTAATTTCTTCTCCCAAACAGAAAACACTTACACTTTGTGATGTCGTGTGGTAATACAGGAAATGCTTAAAAAACTGTGTTTTTTTTTTTTATTCAAATGCTTTCACTAGAATCATTAAGTTGATTTCAGCCTCGGAACTGCCAACCAACGGTAAATGGAAAACTTACCACTACATGACATCACAAGGTGGAAATGTGTTATGTTTTATGTTTTATGATGTAGACAGACTAATAATAAAGGGTTAAGGCCACCACACACTACAAAAGAATTTGTCTGATTTTGGCTGCAATTTGCTTCTTTCCAAGTTCGGGGAGGTGTGACCCGACTTTTTGTCTTCGTGTGCGATTTTGAAGCCGCTGCACTTCTCGTGTGTGTGGTGTCGGTGTCAGTTACAGACCATAACCACCAAATATCAGCAACGCCATGGTAACATCAATAAAACAGAGCATCAGGGGTAGACGGAGTGACGGACACAGAGATGCAAGATACAAACTCGGGAAATAGTGAAAATTATTATTCCTCACGTCTTGAAAAGTGGTAAATTTAAACTGCCGCATCTCATCTACATTATCCATAGAAATTGTCCTCCACAAATAATGACATCCAGTCCACAAAACCGCGCTATTAATCCAGTTTGAAGCACTCTTTAGGTGAGAGTAGTTCCTCACCTGTGTCTGTTTACATCCACACAGAGCACGGATCGAGGTGAAGCTGCAGATAAGTGATAGTGACTACTTCTGTTCATTAAAAATCATGTATCTGAAGTATTGCACAATATTTCACAAATAATAATAACAGAGTTTTGACTTGTATCTAAACTAGAAGTGCAGTGCTCTGATCTTTTGAACACTTAAGAGTCTCAAAGTGCGTGATTTTACTGTAGACAGGAAACAGTTGACGCGATGAGGCTCACAACTTTATGGCCTGTTTTACGCAGACATATCCCGCTGCAGTCTGTGTGATCGGAGATTTTCGGAGATGTCTGTGGTGTGCGCTTTTTTTTGTACGTTTAAAAATCATTTAAGAGTGAAAAATCCTGTAGTGTGTGGAGGCCTTTACTCAAACATGTGTGAATGAAACAAAACACAACTCCAGGTCTGTTTTTGATGAAGTAACAACATTATCACATGGCTAAAAACTCACAAAAGTCAATTTTGCATAATATAAAACCTTAAAAAATATGATTCTATCTTAAGTTATAACACCAAGTATTTGCATAAATGTATCCAATCAGATCATTCCAATTCTTAAAGTGTCTAAATGTGTGTCTGGTTGGGTATTGGTCTAACTGTTACTTTGACATTAGCACAAGAATTTACAGTTTCCCAATAGATGGAAAAAGATAATAATCAGCTGCAACTTGGGAAGTTACCACAAAGAAAATGGACTTGGTCTGTGTTTTGATGCGTCTCTTTAAACAGTCGAAACTGGAGACAGCAGAGGTCACACACTCACAGACAGACATGCACCCACACTGAACAGAGCAGATTCCTGTGTGACTCAGTCTGTGTCCTTGGCTCCTCTGCACATAAATATTGTGGTTTAAGTGAAGTTGACATTTTGAGGATCTTTTACTGTTTAGACTGAACACACTGGCTCATAAAACTCACTGTGGATTTAAAGAGGGTAAAACGAAAAGGTCATCTATTCCGCTTGTGTCTGTTTTTATAGTTATAATATGGATCGTTATGTTAGAATTTGAACATTTTCATATTCATCTAAAATTATTTAAAGATGCACTATGTAAACTTTTTTGTTGGGGGCCTGTCACCTGGTTATTTTTATATGTCGCTGCTCTGTCTGGAATGTTTCACAGAAAAAGGCATTCTGACTATGAGCAGGGTCACCTCTCCACAGATCTGACCGATAACTTGATTTGTTTTGGTCTCCATGAAGATAGAAAGGTTTAACGCCTTACTAGGGAACATTCCAAATAAAGCAATAACATCTCCATGGAGAAAAAGATCTGATGGAGCCTCCACCAGAAAAGTTACACAATTGCCACGTTTACATGAGAGCTTTAATTCCAAATAAAAATAATTTTATTCTGAATAAAAACAAATTCCGCTTTAAAAAGACGATGTAAACACTTAATTCCTAATGAAAATGATTGTTCAGAATTAAACTTAATTCTGAAGTAAGTGGGCGGTTTATTCCAATTTTAAAGCCAAATTAATTTATTCCTCGATTATGTAAAAGTTTATTCTTTTAAAAAATAATTGGGTCGCCCTTCTGATGCGATCCTGACGATCTGGCTCCACCAGTGCTGGCTTCGGACTTTCATCCACGTCTCTTTGGATTTGTGGATTTCTCTTCCCTTCTCCTCTTCAATTGACAGACGTAAAGTGTGATGAGAGAATTCTCCAGCTGCTGCACAATTATCATCGGAACGACTGCAGAAAAGTTTGTATCTTGTTTGTGTCCGTGGCGTAACGACAAACCGAGATGACAAAAAAGCTGGTAGCAGCTGAAGTGTGTGTTTTCTTCCGGTCGACATAAATACGTTGGTGTCCCTGTCCAATCAGAACCTTCCCAACACCTAGATGTTGAGCGGAATTAAACAAAGGTGATTTAACGTGTTTTTCATGTAAATTATTATTTCCATGTAAACTTGAAGGAGAATATTTTAGTTCTGAACTATTTAACTCAGCACAATTAATTCAGAATTAAAAAGCATCATGTAAATGTGGCCAATGCATCTTTAAGGTACAGAAGGTTAGAACTCAAACCATGATCAGTCAATAACCAACGAGCAGATTTGACCAACATCTGTGTGTGTTTAAAACCTCTGAAAAATCAACTTTACACAACATGTCCTCTTTAAATTAGCCTCATACCCTGTCCTCTCTGGCAGACTCGTCCAGCAGAGGATCTCCCGGGGTGTGGATGGTCACAGACTTGTCTCCGCGGCTGCTCCCATCTCGACTTTTGGAGCGGTGACGATCTCTGCGATCCCTGACAGAGAAACACACTTCAATATAAATAATACACCCACAGAGAACAACCGTCATACTCACTTGTTTAAAAATTCATGAATTTGTTAAATAAATAGACTATCAGAGTAAATGCTGTTAAAATGATCCTCTTGTTGGCCTTGAACATTTAATTTAATCTCTATTTAAGCAGAAAAGTCTAACTGAGATTTCAATTGTGATTTTCAGTGGTCCCCAGAAGGCAGCCCTATTGTGCGTTTTTATTAGTAACATAGTCATTTGGCTGATTTTTAAGACAGATGCCATTCCTGCTTCCTCTAACCACATGATTGTGACCAAATGGCAAAATGCTCTCAACTGGTTTTAACCTCGTCAAAAGGCAAACACTTTTCTAAGTATGGAATATGCCACATTTTATTTGTTTATTTATTCGCAGTGTGTAACTTTAAAACCACACTTTGGAACATTCTACATTTAGGTAGATACTGTACGTTTTATGCCATATTGTGGAATATTATAGCCAAAGGAATAACATTTCCATGGAAACAAGCAGGAATAAGAGTCATGTATGTGGAGATGCAAGCACACACTGACAAAAAGGATGCATGTTTTTATGCTTTTCGATGCAAAAATATCAATCATAGAGAAAAAAAAATTTAAATATTTTTTTGGAAACATACTACAGACCAATTACAAACAGACCTGGAGTTATGTTTTGTTTCATTTCATGTTTAACACCGAAACTCTGCAGAATAACGGTGAGTTCTTCTCTCAAACGAAAAAGCTGTTAACTTGAAAAATACCACTACATGACATCACCAGGTGGAACAGAGCATTTAGAGCTTTGGAGATGTGGACAGGTTGCTCAGACAAGGTTAATCGAGCATGAGTGAAGGAAACAAAACACAACTCCAGGGAAATTTGGTTTTGTTATTTTAATGGAAGATAATTTATTCGATCAGATTTAGAATTTTAAATGCTGAATTTCTTACTTTGAATTTTTTAACTCAGAAAAAAGATGTTTATTATTTTTATTCTGAATCTTAGTTGCTGAAATTTTAAGTGTACTTTTTCAATATGTTTCACATTCAAAATAAAAACTAAGTTATTAAGTTAGATCTAATCACTTTGGATCGATTCCTTAGGTGTTTGCATCTTGGATTTTCCTGTGAATTTTTTCACTCCGAATTTCACACTCTGAATTTTGATTGTTGAATTTGAGGGCTTGAAAATATTTGTGCTGAATATTTAAAAGGTGATTTGTTGTATATTATTTTATTTATATTAAAAAGTACACTTAAAATTTCAGCAGCTAATATTCAAAATAAAAATAAATTCAAACATGTTTTTTCGGAGTTAAAAAATTCAAAGAGAGAAATCCATCGGCATTTAAAATTCATAATCTAACAAAACAAATGATCTTCCATAGAGGTGGCATTATAACATGGTCTAAAATACAGTCTGTACCTTCCTCCTTCCTTTGCCTCACCTGTGTTTCCGGGAGCTCCGTGAGTGGGAGGACTTGTATGAGTATCCCGAGTACTGAGACTCGTTGTCCATGATGAGAGTGGGTTTGGAGTGGGCGGTTGGAGCCCCCCCTGTGCCCCCCCGCAGGGCCCCCTTTCGCTCCGACAGAGACAGAGACGAGGAGATGGACAGAGCCAGGGGCAGAGCCAGCAGGTCCACCTTACTGCGCAGGGAATCTATCTTGGAAACAGGAGCAGGGGCTGATGGGTAAAAGGATTATGGGCGAGTGAGGTAAAGAGGCTCCAATCTGAAAGACAAAAAACAAAATATAGTTAGGGAAGTTTATTTAAATCTGTAGTTGACTCGAAACTTACTGTGCTTAAAGACTAAAAAGGGGGTGTGGTGTTCATGCAAAAACAACATCGTGCAAGTCCAATGAAGAGCTTGAAATGGTACAAAGGTAAATACTCAGGAAAAAAGAACAAGATGGTGAGCTTGAAAACATGGAGTGTCCAGCACAGTCTATAGACTTAAGCCCCACCGAGCTGGTTTTAGTATGAACTGGACAGAAGAGTGAAGCAACCTACAAGTGCCACACATTTATGGGAACTTCTGCAACAGACTTTGGAAGAACTTTCTGAAGAATATTTGATTTCTATTGTAAAAAGAACCGAGCCACAAGTGAGTTCAGCTCTTATGTCTGCCAAAGAAGGACACTTTCATGAATAAAAAGTTTAGAATACGTTTTGGTCAACAGTAAACAGTAAAAAACTAGAAAAAGTGTGGTGTTCTAAAACTTTTGACTGGTCGTGTATGTACAACAAGGGATATGAAAATTTTCTGGTGGAGTGTCTGTCAAATGCTTTTCTCCATGGAGATGTTATGTCTAGAATGTTTCACAGTATGGCATTAAACCTTTCTATCTTCATGGAGACCAAACCACATGAAGTTACAGGTCAGATCTGTGGAGAGGCGATCCCACTCACAGTCAGAATGTCTGTTTTTCTAGGTATTTTTGAGCTTTAAAACCACCTGTAATTGAATAAATATAAAGAAGAGTTGTTTAATGTCATACTGTGGAACATTCTAGGCACAGCAATGACATCTCCATAGCAACAAGCAGGCAATGAACCCCCCAACCAGGAAAGTTACATAGTGCACTTCAAAATGTGTTATGGCAAGCCTATTTTGTACTCAATTTATTTTGTATAACACATAAATAAATCACAAAATCACAAAATGGTTGATTTAAAGATGCACTAAATAACTCTTCAGCTTTTCATGTCATTGCTCTACCTGGAATGTTCCACAGTATGACATTAAACAGCTGTACGTTACATTTATTCAATTACAGGTGGATTTATAGCTCAAAACTCCCTAGAAAAACAAAATTATGACTGTGAACAGGGTTGCCTCTCCACAGATCTGACCTGTAACTTGGTCTGGTTTGGTCTCCATGAAGACAGACACCATACTGTTAAACATTCCAGACAAAGCAAAAACATCTCCACAGAGAATGTAGTGTTTGACAGACCCTCCACCAGAAAAGTCACACAATGTACCTTTAAACCACAGAAAGTTAGATACGTGATATTGTGATTCTGAGAAAAATCTAAACCTCACAATATTGTTTGTCGCAGGATGTTAAAAAAGCAGAGAAACCAAGACCGCGATTCTTTGTTTCAGAGCAGCCACTGTGAAAACATTTCAAAACACTTTTTTATCTTAATTCTTTGGGAAATCATTACAATGTGTTTAAAAGTTGCTGGTTTACTGGTTAAGAACAGCTTTCTCACAAGATCTAGAGACGGGTCCCACTACACTGCTCCTGTCAGGATTAACCCCGAGACAGAGAAGGATGGGTCAAATGCAGACAACACAAAGAAGTACCATTTAAAAGTGCATTTGGTTTGCTATTTGTATGTCTCCATGGAAACGTTATTGCTTTGTCTATAATGTTCCACAGTAAAAATTAAACTTGTCTATCACGAGGGAGTCAAGCAGGTTACAGCACGGCGCTACATTACAGTTCAGATCTGTGGAGAGGTGCCCCTATTCACCTATTCATTTATGGAATATTGTGTTTTTGAGCAACAGAAACACACACGTAATGACAAAATGACAGAAGTGTATGTTTAATGTCATACCGTGGAACATTCCAGACAAAGCAATAACATCTCCATAGAGACAAGAACGAAGAGGATCCTAAACCAGAAAATTTGCACACAATGCACCTTTAAAAAATAAAACTTTCTGCCTTCAGAAACAAAACAATGTAACTTTTTGGTTCATCGCCATTTCTTTGCCTGGAATGTTCCACAGTATGACTTTAAACAGCTCTACTACATGTATTCAATTACAGGTGGTTTTACTTCTCAAAATACCTAGAAAAACAGACGTTCTGACTGTGAGCGGGGTCGCCTCTCCACAGATCTGACCTGTAACTTGGTCTGGTTTGGTCTCCATGTAGATAGAAAAGTTTAATACCATACTGTGAAACATTCCAGGGAAAGCAATAGCATCTCCACTGAGACAAGCAGGAGTTACACAGTCAACCTTGAAAAATAAAACTTTTGGCCTTCAGAAATGTCAAGTATAGCTGATCTTGGAATATTTGTCTGGTTTAGGTTTTAAAAGTAGATTTCTGTTCAATCTGCACATTTTAACACTCCCAGGAGCTTTAACATTTGAGAGAAAACTGAAATATGGAACTAAAATAACACAAAAAATCCTTGTAGAGGTCCAAACTACAGGGTTAGCAGCTTTTATACAGAAAGTGTCGGTCCCCAAACTTTTTTGCGCCACGGATCCGTTTAATGTCAGACAATATTTTCATGAACCGGCATTTAAAGTGTGGCGGATAAATACGACAAAATAAAATGATACACCCAACAGAAAAACGGTTGTATTTTGTAAATATAATAATAAACACTTCCAAAGACGTCTGTTTTTTCATTTTGCAGCTTGTGGGTTTAATATTAGCGTTAATGTATCACGTGACCGAGACAAGCGTCTTCACATGTACCAAGAGTAAGGCTGAAAATCATTAAGAAGCTGCCGATACGATACATAGGCCATGATACGATACATATCTTGATACAGAGGACTTTCGATTTGATATGATATATTTCAAATTGATTTGATACGATTCAATAAAAAATAAAGGCTAAATTATGGTTGTGATACTAAAAGTCTTTGTTAAACCACTTCTTGTGCAAAATTCATATAAAACATGATAATTTTAATCATGAAAACTGTGAAAATGTCAAATGTGTTTCATAAACAAGTTTCCTTCCTCTGTTCAAGCAACAAAACTGTAGCGTGGTAACAAAATAATTTTGTAAAATATACCAAAAAAACACTCTTGGCAATATACTGATACAACAGCCCACAATATCGATACTGTATTATATTAAAGGATATGATTTCGATATTTTTGCACACCCCTAATACAGAGTGAGTCAAGAGTGAGGCATAGATGGATGTAAGGAAGAGAATTTGGTCATTTTTCAAAATAAAACATTGTTCAGACTCTGATAGTAAATAAAACTGAAATAATGTAAGTTATTTATTCTTTCTGGGGGTTAAGGGCCACTGCTATATTACACAAAATGGACTCTTTGAGCTTTAAGCTGTGTTATAATGTTGTTTGCTCCTCAAAAACAGACCTGGAGTTGTGTTTTGCTCTGTTCCATCTTGTGATGTCATGCAGTGATAGTTTTCAAGTTAACAGCTACCTTTTAACTTTTAATTCAGTAGCGAATGGAATTTCCAGGCCTAAAATGATCCAAATGATTTGACTGAAGGTGTATGGAGTTTAAAAACACAGTGAAGCACTTTCTGTAGTACCACATGACATCACAAAGTGGAACAGAATGTTTTCATTTTGAGAGAAGAACTCAAACATGTGTGAATGAAACAAAACACAACTTCAAGTGTGTTTGTCAGCCTAAATCTGCAGGGTTTGTGTGTTAAACATGTGAATGAAACAAAACACAACTCCAGGTCTGTTTGTGATGAGGAAACATTAGAAAATAGATCAGAAAATAGCGTAACATGGCCCCTTTAATACCAGACTTTACATGTAGCTAATTGGGACATTTCAAACTGCAATTTCGATTCCAATAGGGAGTTCACGTCTCTCTAACCACCAGGGGTCGCTGTAATGCACACCCCTCCCTCCTCATATACATTACTGTGTTGGTCCTGCTCTAAACTGTGCCAGACCTAATCATCTCTCTCCCCTCCTTCACCCTGACATAATGGCGGCCGTATTGGATTACTGTGTTTTCTCCTAAACTCGTTTGGCCTCCCGTCTCACGTTCTCCTCCGCGCCGCTCTCGTCTCCGGGGAAACGGGGACTCGTCTTTAGCGTGGGATCAGAATAGAGGCGGCCGTGATGGATGTGGTGGTGTCACTGGAGGAGAGGTGATAAAGAGAGGGGCGTGGCCTGGGTCCTTTCACTGTTTGAAATGTGGAAGGATGAGCAGAGTTCAACAGGGCACGAGGAGTCACCAGCGGAAAGGAAACGTTTGGGTTGTACACAAAGTAACTCAAAGTGCTTTACTGAATAAGAAAAATATTAAAGGGCCCGAATCCGTATATCATTCGTTTTTCAATATAAAACTAAAAATAAGAAAATTAAAAAACAACTATTTTCTTTATTGTTTGTCAACAAAACCAAAAAAACTCCCCCCAAAAAACAGCCGTTTCCCGTTTCCATAACTTAAACTGCGATGCCGGACTGAACCAGGACTGAACCAGGACTAAACCAGGACTAAACCGTTTTCAGTCCTGGTCTCAGTCCTGGTCTCGGTCCCGGTCTCAGTCCCGGTCTCAGTCCCGGTCTCAGTCCCGGTCTCAGTCCCGGTCTCAGTCCTTTATCCGTTATCCATTTTTTCATTTTGGTTTTGGAGGCAAATAATGAAGAAAATAGTTGTTTTTTTCATTTTCTTATTTTTGGTTTGATATTGAAAAACTAATCAATGAATGATACACAGACTGGCTCATATTATGCCATTTTCTCATCTGTTATTATGTTGTTTCCTCATCACAAACAGACCTGGAGTTGTGTTTTGTTTCATTCACACATTTTTAAAGGTGCACTATGGAACTTTTTGTTTGGGGGTCTGTCACCTTCTTGATTCTATTACATGAATTTAATAACAAGTGGTTTTAAAGCGCCAAAATACCAAGAAAAACAGACATTCTAACTGTGAGCGGGGTCGCCTCTCCACAGATTTGACCTGTAACTTGGTCTGGTTTGGTCTCCATGAAGATAGAAAGCAGGGAAGTAACGATATCCAA